ATCAGCGTCACAGATCTCGGTCATGTGTGTGGCCGTGAGGCCGGCCATAGCCCCAATAGAGGCTCGACTCTTGTACATCTCCAGGGCGCCTCGGCCTTGCGGCGCCCCTTCAAAGAACGTCCAAGACGCACTGGATGTGGATACAGGTATGGCCCGCACCAGCCCCCCTCTCTTCCTGCTGCACTCGTCGAGCCGCGTCGATCTGCGCGAGGGCCCTTGGAGCCCGACCCCGTGCGGGAACGGAACGCCCGCGGCCCGAAGAGAACCCGCGACGCCGGGAACTCTCGGGGGCAGGGCCTCCGCCCCCCGCGCGCCTCCGGCCAGGCGCGGCCTCCCCTCCTGCCCAGGACCACTGGAGATCTGCCGACCTGCTCCGGTCGCGGCCGGTGGCGGCCGATCGGCACCTCGACACCGATGGCGGCCCATCCCAGGATCGGTGGCGACGGGTCGCCGCCGATCGCGGCCGAGTGGTCGCGACCGATCGGTCGCGATCGCTTCTGAAGCGACTCGGCGGCGACCAGTACCGAAACTCGGAAGGCAAGATCGGTGGCGACCGATCTCGTCGCTCGCGGCTGGAACATTCGGATGTCGAACGGTCAGGGTGGGGACGCACCGATCTGGGTCGGCACGAACCCGCGTCGGCCAGGGCCCCGTCGCGAAGCCCGGCTGGCCGCTGAATAGTTTCCAGACCAGGGTCAGCCAAGGGTGGCACAGGCCCAGACCCCCCAGAGCAGTGACGAAAATCACGACGGGAGGTTTTTCACCACTTCTCGCCATCGCTCGGACGTCCATTCCCTGTGTTTTTTTTGGACGTCCATTCCCTGTGTTTTTTCACCAAGGATCGCCGAAGGAAAAATGCACACGTCCGAGCGATGCCAAGACTTTCGGCACCTGGGGGAGCTCACTGGGCCACGGGACCGCCCAAAAGCCACTCCGGCGGAGCCTCTTGGGAATATAGGTCGAGGCCTCGGGGGGCCGACGTCATGCACAGATCATGGCGCCCGGGGTCTGGGCACCTGGCTCCCAGACCCGAGCCCGCCGGGGGGGGACCCCCGCTGGCTGCCCCGTTGGCTGGCCTCCGTGGGCGCCGAAGCCCAGGGGCGCGGCCCCTCCGGCGAGGCTGCGGCCTCGGGGGACGCCCAAGAGAGGGGGACTCGTGGCCCGGGGCACGCGCGCGGGACACATATGGGCGGACTCTTCGGACACCCTGAATACCCAGAAACGTCTTCGTCTCTTTGGGGGCGCACCTTTGGCTTCCGCCGTCTTCCGCGGGAGGAGGCGTCCTCGTTCTACTTCCGCCGATCATCCGCCGCCCTTCCGCCGCGGAAGAGATGACAACTCCTTCGAACCTTGAAGGTAAGACCCTTTTTGGAACGCCTCATCCCACGTCTCGGTTTTTCTAGATACGGGCCCCCGCCCCCTCGACCAGAGACGCCGGCTGCCTGGGGAGGGGGCAGTGACCTCTGGGGAAATGTCGTGGCCCTGGCCATGCTTCCCCCCTACCAAGACCCCCGGCGTCATCACTTACAAAAAAACGTCGACCTCCAATAATCTCGACACCCACTTCGGGACCAGTCTTTCAAACCCTGAATACTTGTTTACTGGCCCCGAGGCCGAGTAGAGCCCCCCCAGAGGCCGAAAATATCGAAAAACCGGCGGTCATGTTTTTTTCATGACTTCAGGGGGTTCTGGGTGGTCATCCACCCATGCTGTCTGCCCCCAACTCCGCCGAGACTCGGCGGGAGAGCTCGACAGGCCCATCGCGCACCGAGCAGCTTGGCGAGGCCCCCGAGGGGCCCCAGGTAGAGGTCCCAAGGGTGGGGGGGCGGCGTCGGAGGCTCGGAGGACCCCAGGCACACGTCCCAGGGACCCAGGCATACTCGGGTCGGGCGAAAGGGGGGGATAGCAAAGGGGGGGTTTGGGAATCAGCTGGCCTAGCTGATTTTCCCGGCGCCTCCCGGCGCCGGAGGCGGCTGTGTATCGAGGAATGGGCCTGGCGGCGGGGCCGAAACCAGCTGCATGCAGCAAATTTCGTAACCCCCCCTTGCCCAATCCCCCCCTTCGCCCGGCCCGACATACGTCCGACGGGAGCCCAAGCCCTGAGGCCATGGCGTCTTCGGTTCTTCGAGCCGGGCGTTCTTCTGCCAGGCTGTGGGCCCCGGGGCCCTCACAGCTCGATGCGGCTGGACACAGCAGCGCAGAGAGGTGGGGTCGAGGCATCTGGTCGTGAGTGTTAACGATGCCTCAATGGTTCGCGACGTCGTATCTCAATGAAGAAACCCCACAGAAGCCTACAGGCTGCATCAACGGGGGAAGATGAGAACAGGGAGCAATGAACAATCAGACCAGGATCCAACTTCCAAACTCGACAGTCTCCCTGGCGGGGCGGCTAATTATTAGGACTTCACTTAGTATGTGTCTGTCTAGCTTTTGAAAGCTATCACACTGTACGTGGAGCGCAGGCGCACAAACGCACAGGCCCGATCAGCACCCACTAAAACCTCACGCAAGAACGGGGGTCTCAGCGAGATGGTACCTATCTCCAAGAAGGATTGGGCACTCCAGGATCTGTGAGCATCGAACCGGGTAGCTGAATCGAATGTGAAAATGCGTCGGATCTGAGTGCATCAGCAGTGAATCGAAATCGAATCGGATCAGGCGCGCCAAATTGCACAACAACGGGATGCAAACACCAGGACGTAACGGATCGTCATAATAAGATCGGAATCGGGTCTCCAAACGGCCCTAGTCGCCGCCGGGAAGCTCCAGGAGAGCCTCAAGAGGCCCTCCAAGAGGGCCCCAACAAAAACAACATCATTTCCGTAGGAAGACGTACATTTCTGGCACAGACGACGTTCGGTGGTTCACAGCGTCTAAGACTGCCCAAGAGCCCCCAAGATCGGCCCAAGATGGACCAACTTGCCCCCAAGATGCGCCCAAGAGGGCCCAAGAGGGCTCCAAGACGGCCCAAGAGGGCTCCAAGACGGCCCAAGACGCTCCCAGAGAGGGAACTCGAAATTACATTTGAAGCTTTTCGACCCCAGGGGCCCCTCCGAGACCGCCAGCAGGCTCCCAAGAAGCATCTAGAAGTCCCAAGAAGCCCCCGATAGGCCCAAAATCAGGACCCCAGGGCACCCAGACGGCCAAAGACAAGGCCTCAAGAAGCTCCAAAACTGCCTCCAAAAGGCTTCCGCGACACCTGCCAGGAGACCCCAACACCGCCGCATCAAATGTCCCCTGCGCCCCATCGACAAGCCCCAGGGTGAGCATCCACGACCAGCAAACCCCCACGGAGGCACCCGAAGTCCAACAAAGCACCACACAAGAAGCCGCCCCGCGGAAAGCGACCGATTCTCCTGACCGCTCCCAAGAAGTCCAAACGAATCGCCCCAGCATCATGCTCCACGCAACGCCTCAGAAAACAGCCGACGCCGCTGCAGCTCAACACCGCCAACGACCACTCGGCCAGTCGACGCAGCAGTGCCCAAACATGGGCCGGCGGAATAAACGAAGCGATTGAATAAGATCGGAATCGAACCCGACAGAACGAGAGTGACGAGAGGAAGGGGCTGGTTACGTGAGGTGTGTGTGTGTGTGTGTGTGTGTGTGTGTCCGCCCAGGCATGGGGGTGACCTGGATCGGGTCTCAAGTGCAAGCTTCAGCCCTGCTGCTCTGGTGCAGTGGCACGGTGGCTGGCTTAGTCACAAGCGGCTGGGAAACAGTCAGCAGGCCTCCAGACGTTCAAGCAGCCGTCGGCATCCGTCATCGTCGCTCGGAGAAGAAAGAACGCCATAAACATGAATGAAATTGTCGGCGCTCCGCGCGGATTTATCGGATCCGCGCTGGGCCCCCTCTGGGCGGCGCTTCCGGCGCTCCCCCCTTGGCGCGCTCCGCGCGCCAGGGAGGGGGGCCCGGGCGCAGATCCAAGAAATCCGCGCGGAGCGCAAACAGTTAATGTTTGTGGCGCTTTTTGTCTTCTTCTTCTTCTGATCGCTGCGACAGGCCCTGTGGTCCGTGACAGTCTGTCACCTCCCTCGCCTCCGTCGTCCTGACCACGGAAGCCTGGAGGCATCCGAGCTCCCTGGGACGTTGCCATCGCCACCCCAGGGGCGGTCAACCCTGCGGGGATGGGGGGTAATCACACCAGGTAGCTGTAGAATAAATTCGTCGTCGTCGTCGTCGTCGTCCTCCTCCTCCTCCTCCTCCTCCTCGTCCTCCCACTTCTCGTAGTGGTAGGTTTACTCCCGCTCCCAAATATCCTCCTGCTCCTCCCATCACTGTCCCCCGCTCCGTCGTCTCCTTCATCCTGAGTTCGCCATCCTCCAAACCGCCTGTCATTAGCCGTATCCTCGAAGTCTTACCCGTCCTCCCCATCATCATCATCATCATCATCATCATCATCATCATCATCATCATCATCATCAACATCATCAGCATCATCATCATCATAATCATCATCATCATCATCACCATCATCATCATCATCATCATCATCATCAGCATCCTCATCATCAGCAGCAGCATCATCATCATCATCATCATTATCATCATCACCATCATCATCATCATCATATGCATCATGATCAGCACCACCACCACCATCATCATCACCATCATCATCACCATCAGCATCACAATCATCATCAACGTCATCAACATCGGCATCGTAATCACAATCATCTCCATCGTTATCATCATCATCAGCACCATCCTTTTCATCATCACAACTATCATCATGATCAGGAACACCATCATCATGATCAGCATCATCAAACTCGCTCTCTTTCTCTCTCTCTCTATCTCCTGCTATCTCTCCTTCTATCTCGCTCTCCCTCTCACTCTCGCTGTTTCTTGTTAATTGTGTATACATCTATCGATCTATCGATCCATCTATCTGAATAGATAGATGGATGTGTATATATATATATATATATATATACATGCCCCTCTCTATCTCTCTCAGCATGCTACTCCCGAAACGATGCCCCCAAGCGCCGGACCTTCGCGGGGCCGATGCGCTCAGCTTTCGCGCAAAGGCCTGTGCTCCGGCGTCGCCGAGGTCCTCGTTATGGTACAGGTAGAGCTCCTCCCCTCTGCCGGCTGCCCTACGGCAGGTTCGTGTCTTGGCGACCCTGGCGCTGGTTTCTGACACCGCGGGGATGGATCGACCTGGCACGATCAGCAGTTTTTCGACCGCCCGGTCGTTCCCTATTGGTCGTGGTCGATTCTGGGCCACTGGCGGCGTTCAACCTCGAACACCCGCGGCGGGGTCGCCGCCGAGTCGACAGGCGCCAAGAAACAGCCAAGATCTACTCCATGACGGGGGCGAGGGTGCGAGGGCCCGCGCCGATCGGCAGAACAGTGCACAAGCGAAACGACAACAGCAACTGCACACGCCCGAGCGCTGCCGAGAGAGAGACCCCTAGGACCCCCCGCCGAACGCCTCTCGCGCCTGCCGCCGCCGCCCTCCGCCGCCCTGCGGCCAACGGAGGCCGCCTCCCCTTCCTGCCTTCCGCCGGGCTCCGCGCCGAGGGCAGGTCCGCCGAGGGCGGGGCGCGCCGGAGGCGAGGTCCTGTCTGGAGCACCCTGCAGTCGACCCGTGTCACAAGGATGCGCGGCAAGGGTGCCAAAGGGCCTCGGACGCCCACTTCGAGGCTCTTCGGGCGGGGCGCGGCCGACGGAAGTGGCGAAGGATGGACCGAGGAGGCAAGGAGGCAAGGGTACGCTCTTGGGAAGGGTGCCCCTCCTTACTACGCGGGTGGACTGTACGTTTGCGTGCGGAGGCGAGCTGCTCGGCTGGAACGCGCGACTCGGCACGACCACGAATCGGGACGGGACTCGGCCTTGCCTGCGACGGGTCCCGATGCGGGCGGAGGTGGCGAAAGGGCTTGGGCCCGCCCTGCATAGGACACGTGTCTTACGATTGCACATCGGTCGGAAGAAGTAGGCAGAAGCATGAAATAGGAAGGCGTTGAAATGAGATTGGGTTCTGTCCGCCCCCCTGGGGAGGACGGAAAAGTTGAAGCCACCCGATTATTGAAGTAGGAAGGCGCTTAAAGTAGATGGAATATGGGAATTCAAAAATACCTACTTTCAAGGACCGATGGGTACTTTTTGATTCGTCCCAGACACCCATTGAATGACAATATGGGAAGGGTGCCAAGTCAAGTCCCGCGGGAACAAGAGCTTATCTTCGCCAGGGGTCCCTAGAATGGGGAAGGTGGGGCGTGCCATCATGAATGTCATGACCATCGTCGCCATACGGCTCATCGTGGAGACCTTGACCACATTCATCAGATTGCCCATCACCACCGTGATCGTCACCCAAATGATCAGCATCATCCACCACCGTGCCGCGATGCACTCAGTGGAGGCCTCAGGTCCTTCAGATACTATGGTTTTGGCACTGTTCTGCACTGTGAGAGGCCCACATCTCCGAATTCCAAACGCTCACTGGCGCTCTGGGGCTTGCCGCGTGCCTGCGTGCCTGTCGCGTGAACTCGCTGAAGCCAGAGGGCCACAAGACGGGCCCCAGACGGGAGGGCCCCAAGACACCACAATATGGCCTCAACACGGCCCAAGAGGACCACAAGACGCCTCAAGAGAGACGACGAGGAATCTCAAGAGGGCCCAGATAAGCAAAAATCATATATGCTCTTTTTTCCTGTTTCCATGACGAAAGCGCTTCCGTTTCAGGGTTCCGATCGCCCAAAAAGGCCCAAGAGGGCCCCGGGAGAGCCCGCAAACAGCCCAACACGCTCCAGAAAGGGCCCCAAGACGGCCCAAGAGGGCCTCAAGACGGCCGACGAGGCCCACACGACGGCCTGTGAGGCCCCAAGGGGGGCTATCGGGCGCTCTCTGGGCTGCCCGCGTGCTTGCCGCGTGATTTCGAGGGGACCATGGCGCAAAAAAGATGGCCTTAGGCCTCAAGGCGGCCCAAGAGGCGCCCGGTAGACCCCACAGAGGCTCCAAGAAAAGCCCAAGAGCCTCCAATAAGCATTCAAACCGCCCCCAGCATTCCACAAGAGGCCCCAGGGATCGACATGACCCTAGTGGCACTGCGCGGGTATCACTATCATCATACAGCTGGCATCTAACAGGGAGCATCCCAAGAGGCCCCCCAAGTGGCATCCCAAGAGACCCCAACAGACATCCGTCGATGTCGCCCAAGTGTTACCTTCTCGGGAATACTGTGACCAGCAACCCAAGCACGGCGGCGGGTTTGGCCGAATTCGTCGTCCTATTGGTCAGCATCATGGCCACCATCGCTGGTTCGATCATAATGGCAATAATCACGGTAATCATGATCAACAGTGCCACCATCTTCGCCATGGAAGGCATAACCACCGATCGTGGTGGTCGAGCTTGCATACATGCTTCACGTCTCGCCCCAAGGCCAAATACAAAATATCCCGCCGCCTCACGGGCGCACCACCTCCTTTCGCAGACGCGGCCAGCCTCCTCGACTTTAACGCTTCGTTTGCACCCAGTCCTCAAGGTAGAGTGCGTGCGGATGCAAGTTTTCCTGAAAAGCCAATTCTTCCATGTAGCATGTACAACAAATGTGGCACCCTTTAACTCTCTCTCTCTCTCTCTTGTTCTATCTGGCTATATCCTCCCTACCTCTGCCTGTATGTGTTGTTTGACAGTATATGGTTATCTTATGGTTGCGTCTCTCATTAAATATCACTCTATATCTCTCTCTCTGTCTTCCTCTCCTCCTCTTGTGCATCACTCTCGCGCGGTTTACACCCAACAGGCCAGCACATGACCACGGCCTACCTCAAACACATGCCGCAAAACGACCCCTTCCCAGAGCTCGCGACAACTCGCCGCCAACTCTCCTGCTCGGGTAGACGCTCCTTTTCCTCGGAAACCGACAAGGTGGATGAGGAGGCACCGGAAGCAGTGGTCCGCTTTCTGTTCCCGACCACCGTGGCGAATGCGGCCGTGGACCCACCCGAACAAAGAACCCAGACCTCCGCACAACGCCGCGCATCTGTTCGAGCGCGCGGCCCCCAGACCTCTGGACTCCTTCCAGGGGACCGGCTCTGTCTCTCGTCAATGTTTGACTGCCCCTGCGTCGGAAACCATCGCCCAAACTGAAAGTCAGACAGCAAGGACGCGCCCACACGGGTCCGCCCCAAGCCAGGTGCGCCGAAGCCCTGTCGCGAACCCCGGCCGGCCACAGGGAGCTCCCCAAACTGCGTCAGCGGAGGAAAGAGGACGGGGTTGGCTCTACCTTGTCGTGCGCCCGTGATGGAGTGGCGCGAGAGGGGACGGCCTCCCAAAGTGGGCGAGCGAGGGCTTCTCCTCAGGCGGGCGCATTCTTAGAAGGCCCCGAGGCCCCTTCTGAGCAAGTCCTGGCTTTCTAAAACATCCCCCGCCCTTTGAGGAGAACAATGCTTCACCGTGTTGGGACGAAGGGCTTGGGAGGATGCAGGGTCTGAGCAATAGCACACGGATGCAACGCACGACACTTTCGGACGACTGCGGGTACCGAGATCCTTAGTTCTCCCAGCCCCATCGTCCCAACCCGATAATTGTGCTCCTGACCCTTTCCGTCGCGCCGCCCTGCGTGCGCGCTGCCAAAAAGCGGCTCCCAAGCCCAGGCCAGCCAGACGGGATCAGAGAGGAGCTAAAGGGGTCCAGGGACACACAAACAAATATACACAAATTCCAAGATTCCCGAACTGTTCCTATACTTTCTCGGTGTTCGTATTCCCTCCCCCCGACTTCCCGCATTTCCCCATATTTTCTTGGGATCCGAAGATTCATTGTGTATGTGCTTTTTCCCCTCCTGAGGAGTGCGTGGCGTGGTCCCGTGAGGCCCCGACCCCCAGTTGCAGCCGGGAGCCGTTGCTTCGCGCGTCGCGGCGGCGGCCGCAGCGACACGCCGTGCCCTGCGAGCGCATGGCGCGTCGCGCCGCCCCGCGAGGAGGGGGGGCGGGCACGGCTCGGGACCCCGACGCTCGGGCGTGGGGACGTGGACAGCGTGTCGTGCCGCAGCGTGGTGGGCCAGAACCGGCGGCACGACACGCCGAGCGGGAGCTCCTCGGCCCTCCTCCCTCCTCCTCCTCCTCCTCCTCCTCCACCTCCTCCTCCCTCCTCCTCCTCCTCCTCCTCCTCCTCCTCCTCCTCTCCTCCTCCCTCCTCCCCTCCCCCTCCTCCTCTCCTCCTCCTCCTCCTCCTCCTCCTCCCTCCTACTCCTCCTCCACCCTCCTCCTCCTCCTCCTCCTCCTCCTCCTCCTCCTCCTCCTCCTCCTCCTCCTCCTCCTCCCCCAGGGTCGCCACGAGGCCCAGGGCCGACGCCGCCCGCCGCCCCCGCGCGGGCACAGGCGGCTCCAGCAGAGCCCGAGAGCCCGCGCGGGCGCCGCCCCCGACGCTCCCCCGGCGGGGAGCGGGGGGAAGGCGCCGAGGGGGCCAGGCGAGGCCTGCCCGCCCCCCCCCCCCCCCCTTTGGGATCCTCCCTCGGCCTCCTCCCTCTCGCCCACCTCCCTCTCGGCCACCGCTTCTCCTCCTCCTCCTCCTCCTCCTCCTCCTCCTCCTCCTCCTCCTCCTCCTCCTCCTTCGCCCTCGTGTGCCTCCTCCGCACGCCCCATCCCTCGGCCTCCTCCCGCGGCCCTCCACCCCTGTGCGCCCTCCCGCCGCCTCCATGCTTGCTCGTGCTCCTCTGGCCTCCCTCCGTCCCACAACGTCCTCCTCCTCCTCTCCTCCTCCCGCCGCCTCCCTCCTCCTCCGCCTCCTCCCCTCCTCCTCCTCCTCCTCCTCCTCTACTCCTCCTGCCACCTGCTCCTCCTCCTCCTCCTCCTCCTCCTCCTCCTCCCTCCTCCTCCGCCTCCTCCTCCTCCTCCTCCTCCTCCTCCTCCTCCTCCTCCTCCTCCTCCTCCTCCCCGCGCCTCCCTCTGGAGCCTGACTCGGGGGTACGCCCCCGTCGTTGCGTGTAGCACGGCCCCTCGGGCACAGCCAAAAAATGATCTCCGCCCCCCTCCTGTCTTGTGCGCATACATACCAGACCGTTTGATGTATACATCTATGTATATATACATATATATATATATGTATATATATATATATGTAGATGTGCA